CAACATAATGAGAATAGATGTGAAACTTATGTTCTTCATACTTATGCTTCCTATTGTGTTAATGAAAGCGGAAGTAAATCTCTGGGGAGACTTAGATGGTTTTCGAAAAATACTCAATTATATATTTCCTAAGGATCCAGGTATTACAAGAGTAAGGAAATCGGAAGAAGTCAAAACAGTCAACAATGTAACCACATTAGATTTTGTAAGTGTAATAAAATTATTAATTAATATTTATTATTTTAACATTTCTTAAAGACGCTCTCAAAAAGTTGTACAACGAAAAGGTTAATTATTATTTAAACAAAAGTACTTATTGATATAAAAAACATCTTTCTGCATTAACCATTATATAGTCAATTCGGCAAGATGTTTTATGATCAATAGTAACATATTTATCACAATATTTCAAACAATAATAAATATATTGAGTAACTAACAGAAGAATGGAACGTCTCAATTCATTCTGAATCACAGGATGTTTAAAATAAGATTTTAACCGTTAGAAAATAGATAATATTTATTAAAAGAAGTAAAAAGAAGTAAAAAAAAGTTCAAATTAACATAAATTAAAAATATAATCAATTTTGAAAAAAAAATATTCTATTATAATTAAAGCTTCATAGATGACCTATGCTCCTATATAAATGGAGCTTTCTACTACTACAGTTAGAACAATTTTTCTTTAATAATACAGAAAAATGACCGCACTTTTATATAATTATATAATTGTATTTCTTGTTAGTTAAACATATTATACATATTAAGATTTCATTAAAAGGTTTTGAAATCCTTCTTTGACATACTATGATTAGATCGGTTTAGTAGAGAGATACGGTTATTCCGCCGAGGAGCATTATGTCACAACGGAAGATGGTTATAACTTGGTAATACACAGGATATCAGAAAGTCCTTTATTTAAGGGTCAACAGACAAGAAAAATTGTATTTCTCCAACATTCTTTCTTGACCACGTCTGATACATGGGTGTTGATTGGCCCTAACCGAGATCTTGGTGAGTGATCATCAATACAAGCTTATTGAGTATGTTAATCAAATTCAGAATTACTTTGTCATTTAAAGGACAATATGACTTGAAGCAAATTTTTATATATTTTTCACTTTTTGTTTATTTTAAATTTATATAAACATTTTCACGGACTATGTGGAACACATTCTTACACTAAGAGAAAAACTATAATTGTGATTTAAATATGCTGTAATATTTGATAAAATATTAATATAAAATTTGATTAAAAAAACTAATTATATATTATTATCTTGTATTATAGCATTTCTGTTAGCTGATCAAGGATATGATGTATGGCTTGGAAATGTCAGGGGAAATTCTTATTGTAGATCGCATATAAAAATGTCTCCACAAAATAAGGATTTTTGGCAATTTAGGTAAAATTTTACGAGTATTATTTCAAAGAAATATTTTTTATTAAAAAATTTCAATATTTTATTATAAGTATTAAATAACTTTAGCATATATTTAAATTAATCTTATTTTTTTATTTCTTCCATTTTGTTTAATTTAAAGGTTAATTTAATTTAATGGAGATATATATATATATAATAAAAAAAGAGTAATAATAAAAGAAAAAATATAATGTCCTTTCATCATTTAGCTATCACGAGATGGGAACGAGAGACTTACCAGCTATGATCGATTATGTACTTAATTACACGAAACAAAAAACTCTACGCTACATTGGTCACTCAATGGGAACTACTGTATTCTTCATTTTATTATCCATGAGACCCGAATACAATGCAAAAATAGAA